GTCCCTCCTCCACCACTCCTCCCCCCAGTTTGTAGACCTCCATGCAGCCATTCCTCACAGTCCTCAGAGAAACTGCTCCGCGTGACTCCTGGCAGAGATGCCACAGAACCTGGATTCTGGAGCCAGGCCGCTTGGCAAGCGAATCCCATGCTGTGTGACGCTGGGCAAGTCACTTGATGTCTCTGTGCTTCCACTAAATCTTCTATAAACTGGACATAAATAGTACCTAAAACATGCTCACAGGTTCTTGCCTGTGCTTTAACCACCCTCTAAGATGCAGACCAACCCTACTGGCTGGCTCCTCAGGAGTAGAAGGCAGGGGAGATGAAGCATCGTGTTCCCCAGGTTACGCATAAAGATGGTGGCACAGCCATAGGCTGGCTCTCGCTCTCTGGGGTCCTGCCTGGGTACCCTGCGTTGCCTTGGGGGGCGCCCTCATGGGGACAACGAGTCTTCAGTAGGAGACACGTGGACTGAGAAAACTTGGAGAGGATCCCAGACCCAGCCACCCTCCCAAGAGCCCCAGTCCTGACCGCCCTCACCCTCACGGACCTGCCCCTCACCTCTGACCCTTGACCCTTGCACCCTGTAGGGAGATAATAAATGCTTTCTGTTGTTTTCAACCACTAAGTCTTGGGCTGATTTCTTACCAGCAGCACTGTCTGGGATCACCTCCTGCAGCCCCTGCAGCCTGGATCCTGGTCCATCCCTTACTGATGTGCCACCAGCTCCGGTCCCATTGTGGGGACAGCATCAGCTAGCATGAGCAGCCTTTGGTCTGGGGTACTGGGAACCGTGGACAGTCTGGGGTGGGCCAGCTGGCCACTGTGGTCTTAGAAAATCTCTCCTTTTCCCCAATCACCCCTTTGTGAATAAACACCGTTGTTGTTCCCTGATCCTGAGTTCTGTTTTGCAAGTCCGAGTGCATGGATGAGAACCCTCAGGCAACGACTTGTCCCCCAGCTTTGCAGTTTGATTTTCTGGGGCTGTGGAGCCATGGCATCAAAACTGTTAGAAATTCCCATGTTGCTGACTGTGCTGTTTGTCACCTTCCCCACCAGGTGGCGCCACGATTTCGTTTATTACCCCCTTATCTGCTCCGCGGGGAAGCTCCCAGGATGCCACCCTGATGCGGCCTGACACTGTGTGGGCTCCTCTGGGATCTGCACCCTTTTGCACGCAGGTTGGTCATAGTGATTCACTTAAAAAATCTTTTTAATTTATGCACGCAGAATTGGGGTACAGGCCAGAGGATTCATCAGAGACAAAGTTGGGAGCAGAACAGGTAGATGGAATGAAATACACTGCTGAGGGGCGCAGTGATGGAGTTGGGAGAGGTCTTGCTGCACCATGTGCCAGGGATCAAACTCAGGCCGCAGCGGCTGGTGATAGCTTGATATAGCTGAGACTTTAACCCGTGTCAGGGAGGCCCTGAAGATATCCTATAGAGGTGTAGACTGAAGTCAGCTGACTTGGGCCAAAGCGGAGCAAGGTGGACCTGACTCAGGCAATGCCAGGCCTGAGGCTCCTGGAACATGAAGACAGCAGGAGTAAGACTGGGTCTAGCTGAAAGGCAAGTGCAGCACCGTGATGCAGGCACAGGAGAGTTCGGTGCATTTGCACGGAGCATACTCCTCCGATATGGCTCCCTGAGTCCAGACACTGTTTCATTCCCAGATTCAACTACGACCCGCCAGAGAAAAACACCCTCCTCTCTCAAAGTCATCATTTTCTTATTTGGTGGCCTCAGGGCACATGAGTCATGTTTTCTAACATAACAGCTCTCCAGATATTTTGTTTCAGAAGTTCTTAACTTATTGAAAGCAATCAAGAACCTGCAAGAGTATTTTTTTAAAGAGATTTATTTTTATTTATGCATACACAAACAGGTGCAGGCCAGAGGTTGGGGGGAGGGTGGTTTGCGAAGATTCACCAGAGACAGAGTGGAGAGCAGAACAGGCTGACTGACTGGAATATGCTGCTGAGGGGAGCAATGGGGAGACAGGAGAGGTCTGCTGTGCCCTGTGGGTCAGCTCCCTGGCCGGGGATCAAACTCCTGCTGCAGTGACTGGTGATAGCTTAATCCCCTTGAGCCACCAGGGAGGCCCCAGGGTTTTGTTTAGGTGGGTTTTGCCTATGGATATTTGCCACTTAAGATATCACAGAGAAATGAAAAGCATATTTATTTATGGACTCTTAAAAATTGCAATAACATGTTACATGTTCATGGAAATAAGATTACTTTCCTTAAAGAGAGATATTTCTCTTTCAAAAACAAATTTCTAAAGACACTAGAACTATTTTATGTTGTTTGCAAATCCCTCTTATTTCTGATTCAACAAAGATGACTGAATCTTCTCTGCATTCAGTCAGTTGCCTTGTTGCACATCATGCAGCGGCTGGAAAATTCCACTGACGCCCAAGAGAAACGAGAGTGAAGAAGGCCAAAAGTATTTTAGTATTATCATGAAAATGGGTTTGAGTTCATGACCCCTCTGAAATGTCCGTGCACCATGAGAACCGCTGCTTCCATCATACTTATATTTCCACTTAACAAGCAGGTTTGCTGTTATCTGGTTTCTCAAACACAGAAAAGGAGGGAGAATTGGGGCAAACATTTATAGGGTCAACGTCCAGCTGTTTCCATGGGAACCTCACGATCACTTTCAACAGGGTACTAGGGCTGCATACTCTCCAGAGAGGCTGAGGGAGGTCATGCCTCCAAATAGGGCTAGTGGGGCATTTTGGGGCTCCTGGTACCCCGTCGGAGTGGTCCCCTTGGAACTCCTGCTACAGGACTCAGAATTCGAGGCCTGTCCCTGTGCCTTGGTTTGCCCTGAGTTTCTGCCATGCCACACCCTTCTACCCCTCCCCATCAGAAGCTCCTGAAACATACTTTCAGGGGAGACATTGGCCCTGGATCTGTAGGTGCCAGGTGTCGCGCGGGGTGTCCCCTTCATAACCTGCAGTCCAGTGCATCACCCCGTCCCGCCCGTCCCACTGGCCCCTGCAAGTGAAATTTTATCCCTGTAGCCCTGGGGCTTCCTTCCCGACTCTCTAGCGCCACCTCCCGGGCCCTCACGGGATGGGTTCTGGGAAACTTGCACCACAGCGGAAAAACCTGGAACACAACCAGCCCTTCACCGTGGGTGTGGGCGGGAACGGCCCTTGTACAGTTTTTCCCACCTGAACTTAAGGAAACCACGTTAGGGAAAGACGCATGTCTGTTGAGGACCCGCTGCATAGGAATCTTCTTTTTTGCCGGCAGCTCACCGGTGGTCTTCCACACAACAGAAAAAAGTTAACCTGCCATTATTTTTTTTTATGTTTGGATTTGGGGGGATATTCCCAGTCTTGTGGGGTTATAAATAACACAGGGATGACTACACGTGTGCTGACATGTCTGTATACACACATCCCCTCGTGAATTCCTCAGAAAAAATTCCCAGTGGCCATTTTGTGGTCACCGAGCCACTGATGAGGGTCAGCTCCTAAGGACTCGTGTAAAGGAGACTTACCGCATCCCATTAATAAGCATTTTATATCGGCATCGTGGGGATGATGGCACCTTGCTCATGCTGGAATAAATGTCATCTCCTTTTAGAATCCATTTCACCTCTGTGCTTGACCACAAGCAATTTCACTTCACCCCTGTGGCTGCATTCAGGGGACCCCTTTGTGTCTACTGGATAAAGCTGTTCTGGAGAGGTTGACTTCTGGAAGAGCTAGAGAGATCTAGTTTGGAGATCTGACAAGGAAAAGAGAAGAGCCTTGAGGCCAGAGCTAGGGCATGCGGGCAGGGTGAGGAGGGGGCCAGTAAGCAGGGTGGTTTGCACCATGCTCTGTTGCCATGGAAACCTTGCAAAGCATCTTCCTCCATTAAAAAAGGAGAGAGAGCGCAGGCGAGAGAAGCGTGAAGTCTGTGAAGTCTTTCGGGTCTTGCTTATCTTTCTGTTATGTCACTGCAAGGCTTCCTGGACCTGACCAGGTAGATGAATACAAAATTTACTTTTTGGGCGGTGAGGATTCACCAGAGACAAAATGGGCAGCAGAACAGGCAGAAGGACAAAGTACACTGCTGAGGGGAGCAGCGGGTGAGACAAGCGGTCTGCCGCGCCCGCGCCCGCGCCCAGTGGGTGGACTACCCTGGCCGGGATGGACGGAGTGCTGCAGTGTCTGCGGCCAGCTTCGTCGTGCTGCGCTTTACCCGTTGCACCACCCTGGAGGGCTCCGGAATTATTTTCGGGGCCGCCTTTTCTTCTGTACCCTCCAGCATTCATTCAACGTTTTGAGTGCCAACTGTGCTCAGCACATCCACCGGCTGCCGTCCCTCCACAGAACCCAGGCCGACATTGCCCCTGCCCTCCTTTGTCTTATAGAGGAGTGGGTGCGGGGCACGTATCGATTCATCAAATCACCAAACGGGCCATCTTAGAATCTAAACAGGAAAGAGTTTTAGCCAGTAAAAGACAGTCCATAAATGTCAGTTCATTGTCTGTGATGGAGAGTAATTTGCTTATGTAATAAACGCTTACAAGTCATGGTATGATCTGGACAGATCATTCCCCTTGCACCAACTTCGCTTCCAAGGCCGTGGGCGAATGAGTGCGACTTTCCCTGGTGCCACTCCCTCCCCCCCCACTCCCCCTGTGAACTTCTGGAAGTGGGTCCTTTAAGGGCGGATCCCGGAGCTGGAGTCACAGACCTCCCGACACCGCCACTGTTGCCATGGATACCGGGCCGGGCGGGGAGGCGGGACCGGCCGCGTGCGCAGGCGCCGCGAGGGTCTAAGCTTTGCAACCCAACTGCTGAGATTCCGGCAACAGCCTGCTCGCCGCTCTGGGCGCCTGAACCCCCGAAAGCGGTTGCCCCTACCTCCGGACTCCGGACTCCGGCCGGCCGGCCTCTCTGCACCTGGCACGGGAGCTGCGTGCCTCAGACTTCGGTCCGGGACGGGACCAGAGCGGCCAGGTGGGCGGTATCCCTAGGCCTGACCTGCGAGCAGACAGGTAACCCGCTGCGGACTGTAGGCCAGTCCAAGTGAGAGGGTCTCGTCAAAGGCCGCTGCGTCCGCCGGCCCGAAGCTTCAGGAGCCCCTAAGTGCCAGCCGGGCCACATTCACCAGAACCTGAACGCTAAGACGTGTGCTGCTGTCCCTGGGGCTTTGGAACCCACCGGACAACCTATGTCCGCCTGGGGGTTCCCTGTGCCCAACGATCTATTAGGGGCTCCAGCGGTGGACCATGGCCTTGAGCCTTCTGCGGGACTGGTGCAGGGGGCTGGAGGTGGACACGTTGGTTACTGGGATCCCCGAGGGCCTGGAGCCCGGGGCCATCCAAGCCTTCCTGCAGCGGGTTTTGCTGTCTCGCGGAACACCAGCACTTGAGCCACGGGATGGCCCAGGCCGCCCTGGTGTAGTTTGTGGAGGACATTGATCCCCAGGGAGATCCTGAGGGAGGATGGCGTCTGGAGGGTTCTGTGCCGAAAGTGCGCAGAGGACTCCAGGGTGTTGGGGCAGTGCTTGCTGCTGGTGAACTGCCCTGAGGTCCGGACCCCCGGGGACACGCCCACCTCACCAGCTTAGGAGACCCAGGCCCAGGCATTGCAGCAGGTGGCCAGGAGGGCCGTAGGGTGGCAGAAACTGGGCTGGAGGCAACAGGTTGGCAGGAGTCCAGGACTCTTCAAGGGGAGCCTGGGCATCTTGATCCAGGAGGTGGACCGGGAGGACTTGGGCTGGGAGGAGAGCAGAGCACGCTGGACGCCATGCTGCAGGCCTTCGTCAGGGAGCTTGAGAAGTGGGTCTTCCAGCGGGAGGCGGGTGCCGGCGAAGGTCCCCGCGAGTTCTTGGCCCTGGTGACGGTGAGGGACAAAGCCGAGAAAGAGGAACAGCCTGAATGAAGAAGAACAGAGCAGCCTCCCAGAATTAGTGACCCTGCTTGCAGTGAGGGAGCCCACAGACAGCGACGCTTCAGAGAGCGAGGGCAGGAAAACGGGAGCCTAGAAAAAGAGATGGACACCCCTGAGTTTGTGGCCTTTGCGGCTTGTACGGACTCCTCTGCCCCCATCTGCCGGTGAGATGTTAAAAATAGCTTCTGTGATTAAGTCTCTGGGCTGGAGAGACAAAAACGACAGCAAGGATGTCCTTCCCGGGCTCATGTCCTTGGACTTCTCCGCTCACGCGTGAAGGTGGACAAGGCAGGTCGGGGAGGTGGAAGCTGTGGTCCTGAAGGCCAAGGACGTCGGGAACCTTCTGGAGTGTCTTTCTACCTTGGCTGAGCTGGAGCCTGCCTCCGGGGCTGGGTGGACGACAAGGACGCGGCCGGGGTCTCCTGGGGGAAGAAGGGAAGGGGCTCGTGGCGCTCCTGGTCGCCCTGGACGTGGCAGGTGTATTGGCTGAGGAGAAGGAAAACGCCCCGCAGCGGGGATACTCGGGAGGCAACCTGGGGGAGGTCTTGGCGCCCCTCGCTGCGCTGGAGAACTTGGAGTCAGGGAAGGGCTCGAGGCGCCTCCGGGAGAATCCGAAGAGGCGTCTGAGGACTCGGGGAGCGCGGCGAGTCCCGGGACCGGCGTCCTGGGAGCCGCGGGCCACGCGGGCGCGCACCTCCTCCAGGGCCCCTGGTCAGGCCGGCGCCACTCGAGAAACCCGAGCGGGAGGTCGTGGCCTCGGGGACCGGCGCACTCGCGAGAGGAAAGCCGGGAACCCGCCGCGGAAAGCCAGAAAAAGGGCTCGGCGCAGCAGGAGGCGGCCCCCCAAGTGTCGCTAGGGGAACCCGAGCCCACGAGGCGGCAGAGCTCAGCCGCAACCTCCCGCCGGCTCCCTGCTCCCTCGGGTAGAGGCGACTCCCCGCTGCGCTGCACACGGAAGGACTTGCAACCATGAGGGAAGAAAACACAAAAGGAACCCTGGGGGGGCCCAGTGTTGGTGTCGGGGTGGGGGGGGGTCAGACCAGGCGGCTTGGCGCAGGGTGCCCCCACCCCTCCTTAGCCCTGCAGAGCCAGCTAGTTTTTCTGGTTCCGAAGGTTTCAGACCCGCCTCTGCCCGGGACAGCCTTGCCCACCCATCTGTGGGTGACAGCCAGGAGGTGATGGGGGCTGGGCATCAGAGAGGCTCTTCCAGCCTCCCTGGGGGAGATAATGCCAGAAAGGGAAACTTGAGGGGGGCTGGGCTGCTCCTGGGGAAGGGGGGGGCAGTGGCCACCGCAGACTGGGAGCAGGAGAGTGAGGGGGGAGGGGGAAGTCGGGGAAGTCCTGGGGGAGCCCTGTCCACCGCGGTTGCTGCCGGGCTGCCTCGAGTACCAAAGAACCAGTTCCTCAAAGCCAAGGTCCACAGGCTAAATTTGTCACTCTCTCTGCACCGTGTTTCCCCCAAACTGGAATTACTTGCTAACATTTTCAATGCTGGCAGTGCACCTCCAGATTTGTGGTTTCTGTGGGCGCAGAGGGCAACGCCCCTCGGGTAGTCCTCACTTCCCCATTGTCAGCCCAACCGTCCCTAGGGGTTGATGGATCCCTGCTGCCTAAGAGGATGAGGGTCCCAGGTTCACCCTCTGAACAGATTTAATGGTCCCCTGGTGGGGCGGGACCCTGAGGCCCCACCTGAGGGTCTGGGCAAGGCCAGTGTAGGAGCTGCCGGGCCCCTGTGGAGAGGTGGAAGCCCAGGCCTCAGCCCGCAGGCCACACCCCTGTATCCGCTGCGCCCACTGCCCAGTGCAAGTGCCTCTGTCGGGGGGTGTCCGAGTTGACGTGGGCTTTGGCACTCTGTGGAGCCCCATGCTTTCCCCAAATGTTCATCTCCACTGGACGCCCCCCAAGTCCTCTTGTTCCGTACTGTGGGTACCTGTGTCTGCCTTCCCCGCCACCAGAGGTGGCCAGCCTGGAGACCCCTCTCAGCCCCACTGGTGGTCCTAACCCACCCTGGGTGGTCACGTGCAGAAGCAGATCCGCATTCTAAAGCACTCTGGGCTTGCTTTACCCCTGCCCTACACCCAGCATCCTTAATTGCCTCGGGGTGGCCCCCAGCGCAGGTCCGTGGCTCCTAGTCTCCCAGTCCCAGGTCTCAGTGTCACTGCAACCTCTTGAGCCCCCAGGAGCCCCCCTCCTGGGCCTCATCTCCTGCCTGTTCTCCACCAGGCCTTAGCTTCTGCTGCCCCTCTCCCCCCTCAAAGCCTCCCCCAGCTTCAACCTCAGCCGTCCCCCCCCACCTCTTGACATGCTCAGTCCCACATCCTCCCAGAGCCCTGCCATCAGACCCACGTTGTTCCTGGTCCAATTAACTAACTTTTGGGGTCCCAGCCCTCTCCCCTAATTGTGGCCCGGAACCCACTTCCTGGGCACTGCCTCTGCCCCATTCCTTAGCCCCTCTCCTGGTACCCCCCAGGCCCAGCCTGCCCCTGTCCTTTCCAGCTCCTTAGAGGCGCCCTTCCCTGCCCTGAGATTCAGCCAGCTGCCCCATTCGTCCCACCCCCCAGCGCCCACTCCGCCCAGCACTGTGCTTGGCGCCCAGCCCCAGACTCACATGGAGTCCTGCGCCCTGCCTGCCTTCCCCAACCTTTGCCTTGACAAGGCCCTGCCCTGCCCCCAAACTCTAGGGTCCCCACTCCCACCTCGGTTCCAGCACAGGTGGCTACGGGGCTGCCCGCCGGGCCTCAGAGCGCGTGCGTATTCCACGACTGATCGTGGACTTGGAAAAGAGCGAAGGTTTTTAGTGCGTTGCGCCCACTGAGGAAAGTCCTAGAAGTCTAAACCGCTGGCGCTAGTGAGCGACTTAGAATGTCATTCAGATTTGAAATGTCGTGCAGAGATCGCTGGAACTGGGGTGGGGGTCCTGGGTGCCAATAAAGCAGAGAGCGTGTCCCCATAATGCAGCCGATGTTGGCTGAGATCAGGGCGCCCCCGCGACTCCCGGGATTGTAACGAGATCGTGGAAGCGCCCACATTCGAAATCGAGGTCCGGGGACAGAAAGGGACACTCGTTCCTCTCCCCTGGATTCCTGAAAGGCTGCCCACAAGTCTCCGCCCCTCTACGTCGAGGTAACCAAGGAGTCAATTCCCGCAATGGCCGAGATCCGTTCACCCACCAGAAGGCGCTCGGAGACTGCGGGTTAAACCTCTCTGTGGGACTGCGCTGAGGGGCGCCCGCACTTCCTTCCAGGGGGCGCTCTGGGACCGCTGGTTCAAGTATAGGGGTACCCCCAGAAGTGTGGGGGGTAAAAGGATTCACCAGAGACAGAGTGGGGAGCAGAACAGGCAGATGGATTGAAATCCACTGCTGAGGGGAGCAGCGGGGAGACAGGAGAGGTCTGCTGTGCTCTGTGGGTCACTCCCTGGCCAGGATGTGCTGCAGTGGCTGCAGATAGGGCCATAGTGCTGAGACTTAACTCCTTGCGCCACTGGGGAGGCCCAGGCTACTTCCATTTCTCAGCAATTACAAATAATGTCACAAGAAACCCCGTGGGGAGGATGATTCTTGAAGGTGATGCTTTTGTCTGCCCACCCCGCCCCCCACCCCCGGTGCTGGGAAGAGGAATGTGGGGTTGAGAAGCTGTACCATCCTGTCCCCACAGTGCCTTGCTGAGGGCGCCTCTTCCCTTCCTCCCCACCCCTGCCGGGAGTCTGCGCATGCCTTTGCAGCTGCTAGTTGAGAGCTCACTCACATGGTTTGATTTGCAGAGCTGATAGCCCGATGCAGAATGTCTGTGTAAGTGGCACTGGGGAAGTGCCTGTGACAATGACAAGTGAGTCAGCTCAGTGGAGTGTGGCTGGAAAGCCCACTTGAGCCAGGAAAGAAAAAGCGCAGGGATTCACTTTCCCTTCCACCTCCAGGCTTGCAGCCCTCCTGGTGTGTGTGGGTGGCCCTGAGGGCAGCCTGTGTCTGCATAAACCTTATTGCAGTTGGAATAAAAGCCATGCCCAGTCCTTGGAGCATCCTTGCAGGGATGCTTCCTCCATCCCAGTGTCCTCCAAATCTTGTTTGCATTGCGGGCTTATTAAACATAGATGAGCTTTGTTCCTGCCACGTGACACCTTCCAGGCCCACGGGAGAACATACTCACCTTCACCAATGGCCAGGGGAGAGCTCTTCACTCTGTGGATGAAATTTGGTTTTCCAGTCATTCTTCCACCATCTTGCCAATTTTAAGTAGGTATTTTTAACTTTTGTCAAACGTAAACATACACTTAGAGTTCAAAGATGACAACACACTTTCCTTTTCCTTTGGTGAAGGGTTTCAGACAAGGAGCAGGAATTAGTCCCTAGTTAAGACTATTCCAGACTTCCACAACACTCTCCAGTTCCAGGAAGAAATCTGATCAACCTTTGGACATAAACAAGAGAAGCTCCACCCAACTGTTCTGTGCATCTTTAAAAAATATGTGCTGGTATCACTGGGCTCAAATTCTCACCCACGGAACATTCTAGAAAATCAATATAACATTTATTTCACTGCAGTTCCCCAAATGTGTGACCATTAAAACAAATTTTCTTAAATGGGGGAATATACAATGCTCATACAAAAATGTGCCCCAAACACATACAGTTTAACAGTTAATTCTGGGCCCTCCCTGGTGCCACAATGGGTCAAAGCACAGCACTATGAAGCTATCAGCAGCCACTGCAGCTAGGAGTTGGAGCTGACCCACATGGCGCAGCAGATCTCTCCTGTCTCCCCACTGCTCTCCTCAGCAGCGTAGTTTACTCAGTCCGCCTGTTCCGCCTGTTCTGTCTGCTGTCCACTCTGGTGAATCCTCGCACCTCTGGCCTGCACCCCAGTTCTTGTATGCATAAATAAATAAATCTTTAAAAATTAATTCTGTTGCAAACTCCGTGTTACCATCACCCATTCAGAAATGATCAAACTCCCCTCCTGTCCAGCTCATGGCAGGATGGAGAAGAGCCTGCTTTGTGACCAGTGCTTCTTTGCTTTTCTTAAGTGAGTATGTTTATTACTAACTCAGGTGTCTCGCAACACGGTAGCTTCGCCTGTTTTTGAAGTCTAGATTCACGCAGTGTTACGACTCTATGGATTATTTTGCTGAGTGACTGTTTTTTAGGAAAAACAAATGAAACAAAGAAAAAGAACCCTGGGCCTCCCAGTTTCCTGGCCACGTCTGCCCTCTGGAACGCAGCTCCCTGGCTGCAGAGCGGAGACAGCTGCTGGTTTTTCATGGGGAGGAAACTCTGGCCAGCAGCTGTGGCTGTAACCTGAGACCGGCTCTAGCTGCGAGGAGAACACATCTCTTCTCCCTCCGCCTAATCCTGAAATTTTGTCAGTTATTTCCAGAGAGAGGGGGAGAAAGAGCTGGGAATGGTCTCAGGAAGGGGTGAGTTGCCAGATCTGACGGATTGAAGCCAGAGGCTGTCTTAAATGACTGTTCTATGCACTGAAAATGTGTAAGCTGGACGCCATGGTTTTAAAAAGCATCAGTATCATTTCAAACAAGTTCAGGAATCCCATCAGGTGCAGACATGTACAGGACAATGACCCCCCCCCCCCCAACAACTCTCCGCTGCATGTAAATAGCAAAAAATCAGAACCAATCCTCATAGCCACCACAGGGGACCAGCCATCGACGCAAAGGCTTCCGGCCACACATCACTGACCACATTTTACTGTGACTGATCCAGGAGAGAGACACACACTTCACCCTCAGACCACAGGAGATTTAGGGGTGCCAAACCCCACATAGTTAGACATCTGAGTATACTTTTGGGTCCCCCAAAACTAAGCTACTCAGCCTGCTGCTAGCCAGAGGACCTAGGGATAAATGTCAGCGAACAGGGGCCTCTCTGGTGGCGCAAGGGGTCAAGTCCCAGCAGTAATGAAGCTGACCGCAGCCACTGCAGAGTTGAGTTTGATGCCCAGCCAGGGAGTGACCCACAGGGTGCAGCAGACCTCTCCTGACTTACCCTCTGCTCCCCTCATCCATCTGCCTGTTCTGCTTCCCACTCTGTCTCTGGTGAATGCTCTCACCCCCTGCATCTCTGGCCTGTACCCCAGTTCTTGTGTGCATAAACAAACAAAAGTCGGTGAACACAGGTTCTGTATTTCCTATTCAATGAGTGGAAGTGGATCATGACGATGTCCCTCTTGTCTTCACATTGAGTAGGCTGAGGAGAAAGAAGGGGAGGGTGGGTCTTGGGTTTCAGGGGCACCAGAGAGGGAGGAGGAGGAAGTGAAGGGGAGGCGGGAGGGGCAGGCATCCTCCCTGTCACTCACAGAAATACACCGTCCCTCCTGTCTGACGTTTTGCTTTTTCATTTCTCTGGACATGTTTCTGTGTGGAATTGTGGCCTCCTGCTCTGCTTCAGTTTCAGCACCCGTCACAGCACCTATGCTGTATAGGGCAAAAGCAGCCTGGGCTCCTCGGAACCCGCTGGCCTGATGGCTACTGAGCATTTGTTCCTGGGTGTCACTCTGCCTTTCCTCCCTCAGCTACTGGCCTGGCTCGGAAGGGCTCACGCCTGTACGTCATCTTCCGTGATCCCTCCGGGCTCAGAAGTGATCTCCCAGTGTATAAGTGGTTCCCCACCCTTCCAACCCATGTTGTTCCAGCGTCCAGTGGGCACAGAGAACAGAATATAAAGTTGCAGAAAACATACTGCGGTGTGACGTGGATCCGGGTATTCTGCTGTTTTTGTAGAAAAGCCCTTGAAATATACCAGAATGATGGCGGGTGTCTGCTGGCAAACGAGGGCGTGTCTGGCACACCTTCCCACGTTTCCAGATTCTAGGGAGTCTCCGAGCCCTTGAACTCTTGCCTGTGACTTATGAACAGCAACTCCGTGGGAATGCTTCTTGTTTACAGGCATGGAAGAGAATTTTGCTTGGTGGTGAGTCAGTGAATTTCCCTCACCCACTGGGGGAAAAGCCAATTTTCTGTAAATGCCTTTTATTTTTTGCTAAGATTTATTTATTTATTTATGCATAAAAGAGCTGGGTACAGGCCAAAGGTGGGGTTGGGTATGAGAAGACTTACCAGAGACAGAGTGGGGAGCAGAACAGGCAGGTCCACTGAAGTTCACTGCTGAGGGGAGCAGGGGGGAGACAGGAGAGGTCTGCTGCGCCCTGGGGGTCGCTCCCTGGCCAGGGAGCAAACTCAGGCCATAGGGGTGATAGCGCTGAGACTTCACCCCTGGGCCCCCAGGGAGGCCCCCACTGCTTTAAAATAGTGTTTGTGGCCCTTCCTGGTGGCGCAGCGGGTTAAAGCACAGCACTAAGAAGCTAAAGTCACTTCTGCATGAGTTCGATTCCCGCCTGCCCTGGAGGTGACCACATGGTGTGGCAGACCTCTCCTGACCCGCCCGCTGCTCCCCTCAGCAGTGGACTTCGTCCATCTGCCTGTTCTGCTCCCCACTCTGTCTCTGGTGAAGCTTCTCACCCTCCGCATCTCTGGCCTGTACCCCAATTCTGTATGAATAAATAAATAAATAAAAATAAAATAGTGTTTGTGTTTGCAAATAATCCTCTGACATGGGGAAGCATAGTGGGGTCACACCACATGCTGAGGGTGGGCAATCCCGAGGTTAAGAGAGGTGTGAAAGCTTGAAACTGGGGAAGAACAGAGAGGGGTGCTTTAGAAAGTCGAGCTGGAGAAAATCTGGAGCAAAATGTTGTTCTTACAGCAAAAATCAAAGAGAACAAGCCAGTTGAATCAGAGAGCGGCCTGGTGGGTTGTCACAACTTACTTGGGTGGGGAGTTTGGGTGGGAAGCCAGTCTCCCCCTTTCTTTGCATTTGGTATTTGCAGACCCCCTGTGTTCTCTTTCGAAATAACAGGAAGACAGAATAAGAAGCCCAAGGTGGAAGAGGAGAGGGTGGAAAGGTGACCCTAAATCTGAAGTACAGAGGTGTCTGGAAAGGGTGGGCAATAGGCTGTGTTGTCATAGGAACCATCGTGCAGGAGTGTTGTCATGGAAACCAAAGCACCCTGGGTTGTGGTGGAAATCTTATGACATCTCCTATCAAGGGTGCTTCAAAACTATTTTTAGATGCACTGGTGAGCAGGCTCCTTGGTGGGAGCGGGCAGGGAGCTGACTTCATGAACTCACATCAGCTCTTGCACTCTACACAGAGAACCGTATGCTTAGAATTCTAGTTATAAATACCTTGGTATTACAAATAAACAAATATTTGATATTACAAATAAACAAATACTTCTCTCATATATATGTACACATATGTATGTATGTATATGTATGTATATTTGCATATAAGAACTGGGGCATAGGCTGGAGGTGTGTGTGGGGTGAGAGGATTCACCAGAGACAGAGTGGGGAGTAGAACAGGCAGAGTGACCCAAATCCACTGCTGAGGGGAGCAGCGGGGAGACAGGCGAGGTCTGCTGCGCCCTGTGGGTCACTCCCTGGCCAGGGATGGAATAGATCTCAGTCTGTGGTGGTGATAGCGCTGAGACTTAACCCCTCAGCCACCAGGGAGGCCCCGATGTTGTTTTGATCCCTTGACTAGACTGAGAAGACCCCGGTGGGGTAGAATTTGCCTGTCACTAAGGTGCAGGTGAGCCTCCCGGTTGTCACATTGGTGCTGGGAGAGTTGACTGCTGTCCCAGCATCTGCTTGGGACCGAACACCTAGACACATGCCCCTGGTCTCTCCTCTCCGCCCTTTTTCCTCTGCTAATTTTACTGTCCATCCTTTTGTGGCAGGTACTATAACTGTGATTATAGTAGCCTGTCTGATGTCTGTGGCTGTACAAAGTGCTGAACCCCAGGGTGGGCCTAGGAGCCCTCGGCATCCTATCTCGAACTCAGTATGGCCCCAACCAAACTTCTGATTCACACCCTGCGGCTTGCCCACATCTGTTCTCCACCAAACAGTCTCTATAGAAAAATAAGGGCTTCTCCCTCCTATTTGCTCTTGTGTGTCTGCTTTCTTTTGTGCAACATTATAGTCTCAAGATTCATCTATATTGTTGTGTGACTGTCTTTGTGTGTTCAGACTCAGCTAGCTGAGTCATACCCCTTTTTTTGTGTGATACATGACAGGAATTTGGGCCATGGCACAAATATTTACCATGCCAAGTTCAGGGATTCAGTTGTTTGATCTTGCTAAGGCCGCCTAAGGCCAGTTCCCAGATGGAATCCAAACTGCAGGTCCTGGTGAAACACCCAGTGCAAAGTTGCACTTTAGTACACTGTTCTGTGTGAGCTTCCCAAATCTTCCAAACGACTATATCAGGAAGATTTTTATTGGTAATTTTATTGGAAATCGAAACTCCAAGAGTTCACATTACTCGTCTAAGTTTGCCCACGTGGAGGGGCATTGCAAGGTGTTTCAGGAGGACCTGGCAGAAACCTGCAAACTCAATCAGCTATTAACAAAATTTTGTTAATAGCTGTTCAATCAGCTATTAACAAAATTGTTGCCCGTGGGCAGCAAGCTGAGGACCAACAGGAAAAATGAGACCACTAATCTTCCCCACCTGGAGGTGGGAAAGGGGAGTGGAACAAGCCAGAAATTTCTAGAAGCTTCCGGACAACTCTGGAACCTGGGGATTGTGGCTGATTGAGAGGGCTCACGACTGCGGCTTTTAAGGGGGTCAGGGGTTGGCGCTCTTGGGGGAAGCCAGCGCTTTCTTCCCCAGCCCCCGACGTCTGGAGTCAGCAGCCACAGAAGTCTGCGCGTCCGCCCATTGCATCTCTGTTCCTAAGGCGCACACTGGGCAGAAAAGCCTGGGCCTGAAGGACCACGGAGCAGCACGCGGGCCCCTCGCCCCGGGCGCAGCTGCGCACCAGCTCGGACCTGGTCTCCCCCTGGGGACCCCGCCCCCCTAGCGCGCGCCCGCAGCGGTCGGTTGCCATGGAGACCGCGGCGCGGGAGCGAGCGCGCAGACGCGCTGCGTCGCCGTCTGGGCTCCGCGCAGCTGCTGGAATCGAGGCGAGACGCCGCGTGACCCGCCCGGGCCTCGGCGAGGCGCCCCCGGGTTCCCGGTCCCGGCCCCGTCCCGGCTGGGCGGCCGCGCGGGGTGGCCGGAGCCCACACTGGCCTAGCGAGCGGCCACGTCCCGACCGCCTCTCCTTGGCCGGGCCGCGCCGCCTCCTCCCCGGAGCCGGTTGTCGGACACGTGTGAGCGGCGGGGCGGCTGGGGCGGCTCGGGAGGACGCGAGGCGGGAGGACGCGAGGCGAGGCCGGCGGAGGAGCGGGCGGCCGGGGTCCAGCCACCTGCCGCTTCCCGGGGAATCTGACCTTTTCTCCCTTTACCTTGCAGGATTAAAACTTGGGGAGCGCTGTAGACCCTGATCCACTTCGAAGACTCTTCTGTGCACGTGGGTTTTGAGGCGCCTGGCCCCCGCGAACATGTCGATGAGCCTTTTGGAGGACTGGTGCCGGGGGATGGAAGTGGACATCCGCAGGTCCCTGCTCGTCACGGGCATCCCGGTGGACTGTGGCCATCAGGAAATTGAGGAGACCTTGAATGGGGTCCTCTCCCCTTTCGGCCCATATCTGGTGCTCAACAAGATCTTTGTGAGACAACAGAATGCTAAAGCTGCCCTCATTGAGGTTGGAGAGGGGGTGAATCTGAGCACCATACCCCGGGAATTCCCAGGAAGGGGGGGTGTCTGGAGAGTAGTCTGCAGAGACCCCACCCAGGATGCCGAGTTTTTGAGAAATCTCGATGAGTTCCTGGATGCTGAGGGGCGCACCTGGGAGGATGTGGTTCGCCTACTGCAGCTCAAGCAACCCCCACCACCCTCTAGCCAGCGCCTAGAGAACTGGGCAGAAGCTTTGGGGGTGTTCCTGGGGGCAGTGATGCAAATGATATTAAACATGGAAGCTGAGGTTCACAGCCTGGAGGAAGCTAGGGCCCAGGTGCCAACGGCCCCTGCTGACACAGCAGGGGTAAAGGTCAAGAAGGAGCCAGGGCCTTCTGCAGAGGTGGGCTCCGCCCTGAAGGATCCCCACAGCTGGGATGACCTGGAAGCTGAGGGTGACCGCACCAAACCTTTGGGTAGCAAAGCCAGCACCAAGACTGGGCCCAACAGAAAGCAGCCGAAAAACAGCCCCAAGCAGGAAGCAGTACCCTGGAGGAAATCTGAAGATGAGTATTCTAGCAGCTCGGCCTCCCTGGAGGACCCCCAGGCTGGTGATGCTGAGGGTGTGGAGACCCCCAAATGTACCAGGAGCCACAGAAAGCCCTCCTTGAAGCAAGAGTCTTTGGCACCAAAGAAACCGGTGGCGAAAAGTGCCCGGAAGGCTCCCAGCCCCCCAGGGCAGGATGCCCAGTCAGAAGCTGAGCCCCCCAGAGTTGCCCGTGAGTCAGACCAAGATGGCGCTCAGGAGGGCCCCCCGAAGAAAAAGGCCACGGGCTGGCCGGCGGCCAGGAGCCCTGTCTCATTGAGGAAGAAGAGCCCTGTCTCGAGCTTGTGCCCTGTCTCTCATGTCCCGGTCGACTCGGAAGGCACCAAGAAGCAGCCAGCGGCTGCAAAGAAAGGTCACAGTTCAAGAAGGGACGGCTCAGTCCCTGAGGCCTGGCGCGGCCCTCCGCGCCCGGAGTCGACACCTTTGCTGTCCCAGGGTCGCACGGCGAAGCCAGAAGGTTTGCCTCAGACCTCCAGAGGTGAGAGTGACAACCAAGTCATTTGGGTTGTGTCCTCAGGGGTGAGGGGTGGTGCTGGGGGTGGCAGACCCAGAGGTCAGTGCGGAAGACCCCACAGTGGTAAGGTCCTGACCTCCCTCCTGGCAGCCCCTAGGGCTGACCCTGGGGGGCCTGTGCGTGGATGGGCAAGGAAGCAGACCTACTCCCCTGGCTGTGGCACGCGTCCTGACGAATTTCTGGGGCTACATTGTCTGCAGGGTGGGTGACTCCAAAAGTGAAGTTTTCCGGGTGCGGGATTGGGAAAGAGACCCAGAGAATCCAAGGAAGTGAAAAAAAAAAAAAAATTGGCCCACGGCACCCTCCCTTCCCCTCCTGAGCTGTCCTCCTTTGTCCGCAGCACCCAGAAAGCATTGACTGGGGGATCGGCCATATCTGAGGAGTTGAGAGAAGACCAAGGAAGACGTTCTGGGGTGGGAGCCAAGTTTTGTCACTGAATGAAGCAGGACTTTGGGCTGTTAGGCCGCCAGTTTGGGCAGCTCTGGCTCAGATGACGGTGAGGTCTTGGGTGGGAGGAACTCAGGGAGGCGGGGCGGCTCCGCTTTCTCTGCCAGACCTGCTTTTTCACCGCCTCTCCCACTCCCCTTCAGAGGTTGGCCAGTCATTAGGCAGTTTAGGAAAATTCTAGAACCTTCCCCTTTCCCCATGGGCAGGGTCCCTGCTGTGGCCATCTATGTTCAGCCACGCGCCCCCTCCCCGTTCCCTGCAACTCCTCCAGGGTGCCAGCGGGCCTCTGCAGCGCCTGGCATCTGGGCCGTGGGTTTCTTCCTCCTGCTCTTGGTGTTGCAGCCACGGTCAGTTGTGCTGAGGCCCTTGAGGCCACCGGCTTCGTTGTTCCCCCCAAGCTCCACTCAGCCAGATGGAGGATGGTAAGGCCCTCAGAGTGTGTTTTGGGTGGGGGAAAAAAGGTCCACTTTGGCCTTAAACCATTCCTGAGTTTTAAAATTTTGTGCGTTAAAATGGTCGTTAGATTCCCTGTTGGCGTAAACAGGAAGTTGCCGATGCCTGGCCGTGAGGCGCTTGGCCTCGCCTGGCTTTCCGGCTGAATCCATTTATTGCCGTAAGCTCTCAGCATCTTCTAGGCCGAAGAGCACCGCTCCTGCTACAGTAAGAGAGGAAACGGTGACCTGGAAATTGTTCACTTCTGCCACTGAAGAGAGCAGTTTGCAAACTTTTCTGGGGGCGGCCTGGGCGGGACCCATCTAAGATGTCACCTGAGGGAAAAAAACCCTGTGACACATGAGTATCTGGCTGTCTGGTGAGAGAGAGAGAGGGGCCACGTGGGAGAGAGGCCACGTCCACCTGTGTCCCGAGGGCGCTTGCTGTGGTCCTGCTTTGGGGGCGTTGGCTCGCCATCTGCGTGCGGATGGAGCTAGGCCAGCCCCAGAGCCTTCCGCCTCGATGCACTCAGGGTCTCGCTTCCTGCCGTGTTTGTGTTGAAGAGCGTGAACAGTTGTTAGATAGCTTAGCGATGGGCCTTGGAAAAGAAGGTTCTGGAGGAGGTTCACTCCCACCCTGGTCTGTGGCTTCGAGGAGGAGGAGGAGGAGGAGGTAGGAGCTGCTGGTCTGGGTCTGTGGGCGACGGTTCCCCGGGCACGTGCAGCTCGGGAGCGAAGGGGATCGGTGGGGAGAGTCGCTGTACCCCAGCACCTGGGTCGAACTCGGGTCCATGGAGCCTCCATGTTCACCTGTGGCCTCGGGTCCATGGAGCCCCCATGTTCACCTGTGGCCCGTGGTTAGTCAATGTAAATGTCTGGTGACAGAATAAAGTTGAAGTTCGGTGTCTGTCTGGTCTCTTGTAGGCGGAGATGGCGTGGGCCGATGACCTTGAGGAAGGGGCGTCCCTATTAAACCGCACATGCCCGGCACCCCGGGAAGCGTGGGCGGTCCGGGAGGATTGTCCGTTTTCCTCCCCTGCTGGGTGGCCTTCCACCTACCTGAGGGGCTCTCAGAGACCTTGGGGTTTTCTAGAAGTTTCTGCAGTAGGAAACTGGTGATGCACATTACCTAAGAATGCTAGTTCACCTTTCAGATCTGCAGGGAGACCGTCCCCCGCCCTTGAGACAAAGCTTGCGGTCTTTCAGCTGGAACTGTGTGTCTTCTGTCCAAGCCCTCGGCTCAGGTCGTGAGCCGGCCTGGTCGCTGCTCGGGTCACCTGTGGGCTTTGTTAGAAACCACAGCACCTGCTCGGTGGGTCCCGTGAGGGCTGCTGCCCTGGGAAGCCGATTCTCGTCCTCAGTCGCCTGAGGGTCAGGTGCATGTCGCTGGAGAGCGCAAGCTGTGGTAACTCACACCTGAGGAGGGGACGGGTCCGTGGGGGCCAGACTGGGGTTGGGTTGTCCGGGAAGGAAGGGGCTGAAAGGGAAGCTGGACTTTGAGGACAGGGAGTTAGCCGGGCCCTGGATACCGTGGCCGCAAGACCCAGAGAGAAGGCCTGTACCCCAGTTCTATATGCATAAATAAATAAATTACAACGCGCCTCCCACTCTGTAAGCGACCTGTCGTCCTTAAAGATGACTTTTCAAACTATTATAAAAAAAAAGAAAAAAGATGACTTTTCAGAAGTAACCAGGAGCGGGGAATTGTGTTTTCATCTTTACTGTTCTGGGCATGGAAGAACCAGCCGCCCAGAGCAGAGCAGCGCTGTGCTCCGCACCGAGGCCAGTCAGCGCCGGGCCCAGGTGACCGCATTTGCGCAGGGTTCCGGGCCCTGTGCCCACGCGAGCCTGCTTGCACATCCTGTCCGGTGCTTAGAATTCAGGCCTGACACGTCCATCCGCGAGAGTGCGTGTGATTCCTGTCTCAGTGGGGTGATCACGTCCAGTTAAAGCTGGAGGCTCAGTGAGGGTGAAACCATCTCACCCAGGGGAGCCACTGCGGGTGCTGGGTGGACGTGACCTTCCTGATGAGGGAATGTTAAGGCTTCGAGGTGAACCAGTTTCCCCGTCCCGCTCTTGGAAGATTCTTTTTCTTTTCTTTTTTTTTTTTTTTTTTAGATTGATTTATTTATGCATATAGAACTGGGGTACAGGCCAGAGGTGCAGACAGAGTGGGGAGCGGAACAGGCAGATTGAAACCCACTGCTGAGGGGAGCAGCGGGGAGCCAGGAGAGGTCTGCTGCGCCCTGTGGGTCGCTCCCTGGCCGGGGATTGAACTCCCGCTGAGGCGACTGAAGCTAGTGGAGCTGAAGCAGCTGTAGCTAGCTTCATCGTGCAGCACTTTAACCCCAGCGCCACCAGGGAGGGCCCCGTCTCTCGGGCCACTCTGAGTTGCTCTTACATCCCGACATGAGAAGGCAGCGGAAACATCTGCCATCCCAGAGTGAACTCGGGGACATGCAAACACGGCCGGCTCAGCCCTGGCAGGTCACGCGGTGGAGAGTGACGCTTCGGGGTGCTCCAGCTTACTCAGCATGCAGACATAAGTCACTAAAAAAGTGCCAAATTTAAGTCCAGAGATAGAACTTCCTAACCCTAGAATTTGGACTGACTGGGGGCCATTTAACTTAGTAGAGCAGAAAAGGGATTTTGTAACTGCAGCGGGTGCTTAGGAGGAGACTAGCTGGGTGGGGAGAGGATTAGCCAGGCTCTGTGGGGCCTCCCTGCGGCTCAGGGGTGACAGACGGCACTCTCCAGCCATCTCTGGCCAGGGAGTGACCCACAGGGCGCAGCAGACCCCCCCGTCTCCCTGCTGCGCCCCTCGGTGGGTTTCAGTTGACTCGCCCTACTCTGTCTCTGTGGATACCCTCACCCCCCACCCCGCTGCACCTCTGCCCTACACCCCAGTCCTTGTATGCATAAATGAATAAATTTAAAAAAAAAGATTTTTGTGATCCCTTTGCTTGGATATTTTAAACATAATTTTAATACATTGATGTCTGTTCTTAAGTACATGAAAACATAGGTTCAGAAAGGTGCAGGTAAATAGATTACAGGGACAATTTTTTTTTGACAGCCTTGGCCCTGGCAGTGAGGGAACAGGTCAGGGGTGGGGGACGCCTGTGGGGTTTATTTTGTTTTCCTGTGCTCTGTCAATTCCTAACTAGGTATGTGTATTGCTGTCTTATTTTTAAGAGTAAAAGTAGTTAAGCAGCCATAAAATGCAGTGAGGTGCTGATACAGGCTGCCCTGGGGCTGAAGCTCACAGTGTGGGATTCTCCATGTATGAAATATCCAGAGGCAGAGAGCAGAGCGAGGCAGAAGCGGTTGGGGGAGGGGTGATCAGAGCAGTGGCCTCATGGGACCAGGGTTTCCTTTTGGGGTGGTGAAATTATTTTGGAACAAAACAGGGGTGATGGTTGCATGCTTACTGAGTGCATCTTTTCGCTTCACAGGACAGCTCAGCGAGTCTCTTCAGGGAAGACAGGCCGGCTCGGGAGGAAGGCCTGCTGCCCCAAATCACACCTGAGCCAGGTCTCAGGCCTGCTGGGTTTTGTTTAAAGATTTATTTATGCATAGAAGAACTGGGGTAAGGCCAGAAGTGCAGGGGGTGAGAGGATTCACCAGAGCAGAGTGGGGAGCAGAACAGGCAGATTGACTGAACTCCACTGCCGAGAGGAGCAGTGGGGAGACAGGAGAGGTCTGCTGAGCCCTGCGGGTCACTCCCTGGCTGGGGATTGACCTCCGGCCACAGAGGTGATTGTGCTGAGACAACCCATAGACCACCAGGGAGGCCCCAAGGGCCAACCTCATTCACCACCCCCCAACACCAAGGATCAATTTTCTTTTTAATTCTTTTTTTCCCCCTATTGCTGGGCAAATCATCTGAAAATGATTTACAGCTTTCTATGATTAAGAACCTGCTTTTTATTCTTCAGAAATTTATATACAGCAAAATCCACATTTTTGTCTACCATTCTGTGGGCCTGACAGTCATGTAACTCTCCTCTCTGTCAAGACACAGGATCATTTCACTCCCACAAAGGTCCCCTTAAGCTGTCCCTTTCTAACTCTTTGAATTACATTAACAAACACTTTTAAGGCCAACTTCATTATTTCTATTTTAAATTTTTTGCCTGTGATGTGTGTTTTTAAAAAGCTTTATACAGATTTTTTTTTTGCAAATATATATACCATATATATATCTGGCATTTGATACTTAAGTAAACCAAAAAAGATCTCTGCCATGTGGTGTTTATGACATTCAGCGGGGGTGGGGCAAGGATTGAGCAGTAGATAATAAAGATAGTAAACAAGAGCAGTCTATTATGTTAGAGAAAATGCTAAGGCATGTTTTTTTGTTTTTGTTTTTTTTTTCTTAAATTCCAGCCTGGGCTCATTGTTTCTTGCAAAATGGCAAAAACAGGAAAATTGTGGGTTTTACAAGACTGGTCACTCTCAAGACAAGTCTCTGGGGCTCAACCTCAGTGAGAATGTTCTGGAACAACAGTGAAAGTGTAGCTAAGGTCAATGATTATCCTACACTTACATGCCCCAGGCCAGTTCCCAGTGTTCCTCCTGTGAGTCTCACACTGCAGTAAGAAATGTGAGCACTCACAGAATGTTCCAGAACAAAACAGAAACATACCTCTCCCAGCACTGCTTTTTCAAGATTCTGTGCATGCTTCACTGAAGTATTGTCAGACAGGACAAGACGAGCTGTTCTTAGAGCTGTCAGTTGTGAGGGTGGGGAGCAGGGAATCTGAACTCAACAACGGGGAGAACAGACAGGTGAGCAGCGTGAGGGGGTTGGTTATCTCTGAGAAGATGTGTGAGGAGCCTGGAATAGTGAAAGACCATTCAGCACAGAGGGAAGAGTGGGAGAAGGGAATCTAGAATCAGTCACATAAATATGTGAGTGCAGTTTGTGATGCAGGTAGGGTTTCAAGTTTATTCAGAAAGATGGTGCAGAGACAACAAAGGAAATGTTTAGAGAAACAGGAGCTATCCCAATATTGAGATAAATTCCAGGCAGATCAAAAGCTTGTGAAATGCAGTTGAAGAGTTGTGGAGGGAGAGCTGCTTGGGTGATTGATCATCTCTCTTTTTTTAAGATTTATTTATTTATGCATATAAGAACTGGGGTACAGACCAGAGGTGCAGGAATGAGAGGATTCACCAGAGAGAGTGGGGAGCAAAACAGGCCGACTGACTGCTGAGGGGAGCAGCAGGTGGGTCAGGAGAGGCCTGCTGCGCCCTGTGGGTCAGCTGCCTGGCCGGGGTGGAACTCATGATTTGGTGGCTGGGGAGAGCTTCCTAGTGCTGTGCTTTGACCCACTGGGCCTGCAGGGAGGGCCCAGGAATTGGTCATTTTGAAGGAGACTGAGCTTTTCAAACTCCCGCAGACTTGCAGAGTGCAAAGCTTTGTCACATACACACCGGATAACGCCGGACCCTGGGTGGGCTTCTAGTCGTGTCATCAAAGAAAGCTGGCTCCTTCACCACAGCAGCCACAGGGAAGTTAGATTTTTAGATTTTTTTTTAAGGTTTATTTATTCATACAGAACTGGGGTACAGGCCAAAGATGTGGAGGGTGAGAGGATTCACCAGGGACAGAGTGGGGAGCAGAACAGGCAGAC